ATGACTCTGTTTAAGCTAAGAAATCCTGATATCTCTTCCTGTTAAGATATCAAGTCAGAAGAATATTGGCAACCATTGAAAAAAAATGGTACTCCTTAAGCAACATGCATATATTATGACCAACATATAATGCAACAGGCTAACAGCAACTTCTTATGTTCTTCATACAAGAGTACCACACAGATAGAACACACTCCCAAAAAGAATGAGCTCTTGCTAAATTTGGAAATAATTTAACTAAAACTTGTTGTTCTACTCTTATTAGACGCTTTTATAGCCTCATAAATGTTACTGTATGACATAGTTATGATCACATTGTTTCAAAAGTCTAATAGTCACATAAAAGTTATGACATATTTAACACCACAAGTTTCAAAAGTGTTCATTCCTTTGTTTAACTCCGTTCCCATTCAAATAAGTTCATTAAAATGAGCACTTTTGAAACTTGTTAATTGCCAAACCATTAAAATGACCAAGATGGTTAAGTGCCCATCATGAAAACCAGGATATGAACCAATAAAGAGAAGCCTATCAATTAAAGAAAGATTTCATCACAAAACATATTCCCTTCGTCCACTTTAACTTGTCCATTATACTAAAAATAGGTGTTCACTTTTACTTGTCAACTTTGGAAAATCAAGAGATAATTTATCACTTAGTTCCTAATTAACCCTTATTATTAACTATAGTCAATTACCCAATGCATTTCCCAAGCCTTAAAGGATGAGCCAAGTCAATTTACCTGATGTATTTCCCAAACCTTGAGGGGTTGTTCGGTTGGGGAAAAGTTATCCTTAATAATTATTCCGGGACCTCCAAGTATATAAGATAACTTATCCTATTACTACGGTATAAATGGTGGAGTAAATAATCCAAGTACTACTAAAACCTCCAACCAAATACAAGACAAAATAATCCTGCATTTTATCCCGGAATTGTTATACCTTATACCTCGCACCAAACGACTCCCAAGGGGGAGCAAAGTCAATAGTGAACAAGTAAACATGGAGCATTAGCTGAACTCAGAACAACACAACAGAGAATAGAACCAAAAATTCAAAAGTTGCCTGAACAATTGGTAAACGTAATCTTCCACAGCAGTTCAAATTCTAGAAAAGATAAAATCTTTTGTGAAGAAAGCATGTCATAAGTTATGATTAGAACAGCTCAAAAGATGAATGCATAGTAAGGGTCAATTAGGCCAAAGATTATACCTTTACAGCAGCAGCAGGGGCATTTTCTTGAGGATCCTGAATGTACTTCTTCATTCGACCCATAAATTCCGTATTCCATATAAAATCATCAGATGTGAGAGGATCCACATCCTCACCCCAATACTTCCTAAGCTTAGTAGTGGTAGTGGGTGGGTCAGCAGCATAGTCCCCAGTAGCAGCCACCCCACTAGACAATTTCACAGGTTTCTGCTTGGATTGTGTTGGAATTGACAATGGGGTTGGATTATTTGAAGAATCTTGAGATATGGGTGTGGCCGTAGAAGTAACTGAGAGGTAGCAGTAGTTTAGAACTCCCATTTTTGTGCAATTTGGAGTGATGGGGTTGTGTTTCTTGATCTTATAGACAAGGAAAAACAAATATCTTAGTGTCAATTGGTAGCAAGTATATGATAAGGGTGGACCCTGGTTGATGATAACATTGCTTCCGTTTTATTGTTTGGCCATGAAAAAAGTTTGATTGGATATTTTTGAAGAAGTTTTTGTAAAATGTATTCTGTTCGAATACTACGTATAGAAAAATTCCTGGCAAAGAGCGTTTTCCCAAATGAGCCTTACATGCGTGAATTTGAAATAGTCGAGCTCTACCAAAAAAATATATGAGAAAAGATAAGTTTATTTTGTAAATTACACTTTATTTTGAGGGCATAAGAGAAATAGATTTAGGGTCCGTTTGGCCATGCGATATGGTATCGTGATATGGAATCATGAGATGAAATTGAAGTTTTGTTTGGACATGCGATATGAAATTTTTGTGTTATATATTTTCTCATAAACATAAAAATCCAATAAGTTGTAAAACTATTAAAATAGCCCCAATTGTTTATTCAATCTTATCAAATAAACAAAATTTTATAAAATCGCATAATAAATAATTACAAAGCTATTTGTTCTCCACTTAAGTAATTGTTTCATCTAACTTTAATTTAATAAAAAAAATTAACATAAATTGTAGTGTACTAGTCTTTAATATAATCCTCCCACAGACAACTTCCTCACGTTGAACTTGCATTTCTCGATCATGTTACCGAGAAGATGAACCAACATTGTTACTTTGAGCCATTTGTTGGTCAATATCACCCACAACTATATTTTCATGCTCATAGAGCGTAAATATTTCATCAGTACTTTGGTATTCTCGCAAATAATTATGTAACACTGCACAAGCTATTACAATTTTCACTTGTGTATCAATATCATAATGGTTCATCCCTTGTTACAGTTTTCTAAATCTATTTTTCCAAGCTCCAAAAGTCCGTTCAATCACATTGCGCAGAGATGAATGCCTATAATTAAACAGTTCTTTGTCATTTTGAGGCTCTCTTTCACTTCCTCGGTAATCTTGCAAATGATAGCGTAGTCCTTTGTATGGAGCTAAAAATCCTTGTGTTTGGAAACCAGCATCAACAACGTAATATTTATCTACCAAAAAATATTTTATAAAGAATTACTAAAAGCATATGTGACGTAAATGAGACAACTTTGTGTAAATAAATAATATTTATTCTAAGGATGTAATTTAAAGTAATGATGTGATTATAAATTTTATTTACATATGAAATAAATGGTTAGTAGATATAAATGTGGGGTTGTTTTAACAAAATATAAACTTGTGGATCAATTTTTGTATTAAAAATATCTCAAATCATGATATGAGGAACCTCCCCTTCTATATATGTTCCATCAATCGCACCAACACAATCCTACCAAATAAAAAATACATCAATATTAGTTTAGTGAACATAAAATAAATTGAAAGCATTATAGAATGCACTTCATAAAAATAATGTTGTAAGAGTAATAAAAATAGTGCTTCCAAGACAATGCAAAATCATAAAATAAATATTATCTCTTTAAACAAAGTTGATAGGAAATATGTAACAAAATACTAATAACTTACACATAAAATATAAATGTGCACTTATTAAGGCCGTAAAATAAATTTATTACTCAACAATCGGTTGGTGTGAGTTAAAGTGACTATATGTTGGTGAGAATAATAAATTCTATGTCGGTGAGAATAATAAATTTTGAAAAGTAATGATGTGATTATAAATTTTATTTACATATGAAATAAATGATTAGTAGATATAAATGTGGGTTGTTTTAACAAAATATAAACTCGTGGATCAATTTTTGTATTAAAATATCTCAAATCATGATATGGAATTCCCATATAATTCCATATCATGGTTTTTGGAGAATATAGAATCACATCTCATGATATGGAACCATGAGATGGAATCAACGTAAAATCGCATGTCCAAACGCTGATTTCATCTCACAATACCATATCGTATAGCATGGCCAAACGCCTACTTAATTTGTTAGATTTACAAGAGAGCAGTAATTAGCTAATGATTTCTGGATAGAATTTAGACACGATTGTAAAATGATTATCTTTTCATTCATCCAACTTCGTTTAAACTTTCTTTTACAAAACTAAACATTAATGTTTGCCTTTGAGTCGAGGATAATCAAATTACAACACATAAATTGAAACGGTGGGAATAATATATTTGACATCTGACATAGCCGTCTATAACAATCATTCATTCTCTCCACTGAGATTCATCAAAATCAACTAGTTTTATGTCGAACTCAAAAGCCAAAGCTAGCGGAAGTTGGAAGTGTTGCACAAGATGATCAGGGAGGTGAGTAGACTGATTCTTCCATCGACTCGGTTATGACCTACCATTCATACGATGATTTTATCCTCTCCGAGCTTGAAATCTCCATAATGCATATTCTAAGGGGCGACAACATATATAAGTGTGTGAATTAGATGGCGAAAATGGTAAGAACGTACCAACAAGACTCAATAGTACTACATCATCCACCACATTCCATGCACCAAGTGAGCACAAAAAATATGAAGTTGTAAAATATTAGTTGATGTTAAAAAGAAAATAATCATATTGAAATACTCTTTTGTTACTGTTCGAAGATAATGTGATGATATTCATTTTGTTAATTTCCTTCTACGTAACATACGCATTTGACACCCAAGTACATGATGAGCAATGTAAATTATTTTCCTTTTTGAATGATTTGTTGCTTAAAACAAAAATATTTACAAGGGATTTGTGTAACAATTAAATTTATGAAAGAGAAGAATCAAGTCCCCCAATGGATAGAAGAAATTTTACCGGATATGTCTTTAGCCTTGTGCACGTGAAAAATGAGGTTCAAGACCATCAAATCATATAGACTACAGTAAATTGTACATATTTTACTTGTTTAATTTATAATTATCTAGATACATTGAATTTAAGATGTGTCTAACAATGTTTTGTGACAAAGCAATACCAATGTAACATAACACCATTTTGACTAACATGCATCCTTCTTCGTTGGTGCCCCATCTTCTTCAAATCTTAGATTCGTCTCACCCATACAAAAAATGTATATAATCAAATAATCATTTAACAAAATGTAATAGCAAAATTTAAAGATTCATGAGAAATCCAGCAATGAATACAACAATAGGGTTTACCCTATGATCTAATAAACTACAAAATACAAACTATATATAAACAAAATCCAAGCCTGAATTTAACAATAACAACATATTCAGTGAAATTTCGTAAAGTAGGTCTAGATCTGGAGAGGGTAAAGTGTATGCAGTCTCATCTTGAGGTGGAGAAGTTGTTTTCAAGAAACACTCCACTTAATTAAGCTAAATCAAAGCAATAATAAAACGAAGAAAAAAAAAGATAGTGGAGAGAGGAACATGACAACTAATAGCAAAACAGTGAGACACATATATGCAAAGAACCGTAACAACATCAAAACTGAAACACTATTGATTCAATCACAATTTACAATTTATTTTGAACAAACCCACTTCCCATCAATCCAATCTTGATGAACTCTCAAATCACTTATAAAATACCCACATTCATCTCCACTAGAATCAAAATACACAAAATACTTACTCCCAATTTTACCAGTAATTCTTCCAACCCACCATCCATCATTACCAAACGCATCAACTTGATCATTCAAATTAAATCTACTCACCGGAATCACCGGCGGAACTGGCCGGAGTTCTGAGTGGGTAACAAACTCCGTCAGGGGACCAGATTGATCATCTTTCAATAGGGTTTTATACTGCACGATGTAATCTTTCTTGAGTGGTTGACACACAACAATTGCCTCATAATAAGAACCCAGAAATCCATCTTCTTTGCTTCCAACTTCAACAAGATCGCCTCTGCTAAACCCCATCTTCAAAGAATGATAAGAAGAAGACAACAAGTAAAGATATTATTGTTGCGTGATTGTAGGGAGATTGGTTTTAAAAGTTTTTTTATTTATTGATGATTTGGGAATTTAAGTAGAATAATACTTTCTTTTTTGATATATTTACCCCTGTCATCCAACTTTACACGCATTTATACTTGCATTGTTAAGTCTTATTATCCTGCATGGCACCTATGTGGCACGGCACGCCTACATGGATATATAAATTTATTCTACTTAAAATCTCATTCTATTATACCAAATCCAATAATATACCCACCCATTTAATTCATTGTAAAATAGTCGAGGTGCAAGCAAACTAACTCGAACACCCCAAACTATATGGAAAAAATTGTAAAAGAGTATGCATGATGCTCATTAGTCATTAGAAAGCAAGTGGCTGGTGATAAAAGTTAGCAATCAAATTGTAAAGAGTAATCCTAGATACCCCCTTTATTTCAAACCAGTGAAAGTATGTACTCTCTATTTGTTGCGTTTCTTAGCCTGCTTGCCCTGGCCCTTCTTAGGTGGCCCCTTTCCGCGACGTTTCAACATTTCAAGCTTGCTCAGACGCTCTTGTTCTTGACGTGCCATCACAAGAGGGTCATCTTTCATGATATCATGTGGGTACCATTGTGAGACCTTTTCACCGATCAGCTTCTTGCGTAAAACCTTGTGAGCAGATCGCTGCCCAGTTGGATTAATTACATGACCAAATATCTTGGCCCTTGCCTCGACCAATCCTTCAATGGCTGCAGCAGCTACCACATTTTTCAGTCTCCCTAAGTTCATTTCTTGGATCCGAAAAGAAGCTCAATATTCAGATTCACTGCACAAAGGAGTGTTCTTAAAGGTGAAAATTGCAACAACCAAAAAAGACTAAGGTCCTTACTAAGGCTTGAAGTAAAGTGCAGCATGCAATCAATCGAAAACTAAAGAAATACTAAACATATATGAATTCAGCACGAATTAAAACTTTGCTCGTCTTTAATGGACAACAGAATCGCAAAACATGTATACATACAAAACTAGTCATACTTCAAGCACCCCTCAGTTTATATCACATTTGGGATTGAAAACATCCTATTTATTTTTGGTCCAAACAGTGAATCAAAATTCAAACAAAACTTCCCTTTAAAAAAATAAAGTCTCAAAGTAACCAACACAGATTGTCCATTACCTTCTCAAAATGTCGACACAGATTGTCACATTAGTCCCCACTATATCACATTCATTCTGTTTCTCTGATAAAAATATCACATGTTGCTCTCAGATAAATACAAAGAATTAGATACATATTTTCCGCTTAACAGCAACAACAAGATATCATTAGTCATGCTTTTCCATTAGTATGCTGGGAATGACCAGAATACAAAGTGATACAACTATAGAAACAAAAGATGGAGCGGAAGACTCTAAAAAGAAAAACAGAACAGAAAGTTCGACACAACCCCAGCTTGAAACCTTAGACATGCTTCTAAATTCTCAGAAAGAAAATCATCAAAACGCTTCCTGAATAACGCCACAGTCCCCGACTTCATCACAAAATCTCATTCCCATTTCATATTTCATCATCCCAAAACTTCTAAATCGCCTATATATCAAGAAGAATTACGAGACATCACTATCTTTACGTATTTTGAAAAAAATTACAACATTCCAAAGAGACATCAACCTTCCTATTTGTTCACTAGCACAACCGACTACCACCAACTTATGTGCAAGGGATATTAATTCTTTTGACCTGGGAAATCAAATAGTGAACGCATATGCCTGTATGCATCCTAACTCAAGAAATGCAAATGATTTTTCAGGCTTCTAATGCATACCAAGTTTTATTTGAACCTACTTGTAAGCTATGGGATTAAGCTAAATCAGTCCAATAATTCTTTTATAAAGAAGTATCCACTTAAAAGTACTAACGGACTTTTTCCTATTTATCTAAGCCTTGGTGGACAGAGTTAGCTGATATATGCACGGAACATTGAACTATTCGATTAACCTATTGGAAATATGAAACTAATTCACAAAAACAGTGAACTTTATGAAGTAAATCATTTCATTGATAACATGTAAACAACAACTAAGCAGAACAAAATCCTTATCAGAAAAATGTAAACAACAAGCTAAATTTCAACTTTAAAAAATGGAAAGCAAAAACTAATTTACTCGTTGCGAAGGAAGTTACGACAGAAAATGTACACATTCAAATTTAAATTAGAAAAAAAAAATGAAGAATGTAGAATGGAGCGGACCTTGATGAGAACAAACGGCTGCCTTTCTTTGTGAGAGACTGGATCCGCCACTTCCAAACAGATTGATTACTGTGTAGTAAGCTCTTGGCTGCGCTCCACTGGAGTTTTTGAGTGGAAAGGAGGAGAAAAATTGTTCAATAAAATCTCGGGTCTTCCTTCTCATTTCATTAAAGTGGGCTGGACACTTGCATTTTGTTGGGCTCGGAAATTAAGAGGAAAAATGGACTGAGAGGGAAAAAAACTACCTATAGACAAACATTCCTACAGTATTTACTAATTCTTCCTATAATTTGAAATAATTACATATTATATCACTAATTAATAATTTCATATTTGATGTGCCTACATATATGTATTTTTACTATCAAATACACTAAAATAGGGAGAGATGCAAGCAAAATTTCCAAATACATATAAATCACACTAGATCCCAAATACAAGGAGAGAGGCAAGCAAGAGAGAAGAGTGGCGAGCGAGAAAGAAGAGTGACGAGAGAAAAGAGTGGCAAACGAGAAAAGAGAGTGACGAGCAATACAGGAAAGAGGTAACCAAGAGAGCCAGAATGCGAATTCACTTAAATACAATATATCTATAGAACAAATGCAGCAACTTTCACAAATGCAACATTAGCGAAGCCGTTGCCCTTAGAGGAGAATAATGTAAGTGAAGGGAAGCAAACACAAATACTCCCAATTTTAAGGGTTAATAATGTCCTATTAAGGAGAAAGGATCTTTTAGGTCCTTGCAATTTTTTTAGAAAAAATTATGACTTCTACAAAATCTTCATTTTTACACGAGATCTGAAAAGACCATTTTCTTCTTTTCATTTTATAAGCTGCCAAGAAATCTTAATTTTCAGCCCAATATCTTGGTAAAACAACGAATAATCAAATGCCAACCATAGTCGAAGGTATACACTTTTTTTCCGAGGAACTAAGATCTCTTGTCCTCTTACAATTTGAATCGAAGTAGATGACCTTTAATAGATCTCTTTAAAAAAAAAAGACATAAAACTAAAAAAAAAATTGTAAAGAGCCAAAAAATCATTTCTCTGCACAATTTCTATATGATCAACAGCAGTAACAACAATATGATTTGAAGGGTGTAAGGTATGCTTTTGAAACTATAGCTACAAAATCAATTCACTTCTATTTTAGTGGCTGAGCTGGTCCTGGTCTTGCATTGATTTCAGATTCCTGTGATAAACAACAAAAAGAAGAAAAAAAATTAAGTCAAGAAAACAGTATCTTTATTGAAGTTGTATATGTATAACAGTATCTATAGATTATAACTGAAGAACAGGGTGGGGAATCAAGCAAGGTAAGTTTCAGAAGAGTTGGATCCAAATATATAAAGCAATATATACTAGTATAATGGATGAAATACAATTAGGAAAGAAAATTCATATTGCTGAAATTTAATTTGGCAGCAACTAGCGTCATGAACAGCATCTGGGATCAGTTTCATATGGTTTTCACCTGTAAAATTAAAAAGCAAAATTTACTTCAAATGGAAATTGTTTCATATTTCATTTTCATTAAAAAAAATTGGCATTAGTAGTTAGTTACCTTTCAATCAATATTCCAGATAACATCCTGTGGTACTGTTAGGGAGCCAATATACCTAAAACAATAAAAGTTTGGACTTGCTTATCTTATTAAGAACCAATATCTGTTTTACCTTTCTTTTGTTAAGAGCACTACTTAGCAGAGCGATAAGGTATGAGTAGCATATGCTTGGTCACTTCCATCTCCTTAAAGAAGATAATTTCAATGCAAAAATTGCAACAAAAGAACTTAGAGAAATATATTTATCATAACCAAACGCCAAGAAAGATATCCTTTTACGTACAAAGATGGCAGTAGTGAATATAGGGATGTTTTCCCTCGTATCTGAGCTAGCTCTCCCAAATAGATAGAGATGGATCAGACAACATTCAAGAAAAAAAATAATGTTTGACGGAGAATTGAAGAAGTAGAGCTAACCTGGAAAATTGGAAGAAGCAATCTTGAGAAGATTAAGCCAGATTTGACCAAAAACTGAAGTAGCTGACTTGATAATTGCAAGTACAATTAAAGATGAACAAATGAAGAAGAAAACGTTTGGAAATTGACAGAAAAAACAAACAGGAAAGAGTAAGAAAGCTCTTCCCTGTTTGGAGCAAAAATGTTCTGGGTGCAGGCATGAAAGGTAAAATCAGTGGAATAAAAACTTTGTGGTGGCTAATGGAGTGCGCAACTGAAATAAGCAAAGAAAAATGTCAAAAGGAAATACCAATATTACCCTTGGTTGTAAATCAAGTTACTTATTATATGTCGTCTACAAGTAGAACCAAACAAAAATCATCTTTCAATACTGTCCCTCTCCTCGGACAAGGGAAAACCACACACATCACCGACATCAGAATAAGCAGCACAGGCTCACATACCTTAACAGAAGTGTTGAGCCAGTGCAAACCAAAGTTCACTTGGCAGCAGAATCATTGCTGAACAAGCGGTTGTGCCAACATCTAGGAGCTCGTTGATGGAATGTCGCTTGTTCAACAATGGTCGTCTGTCAAGGGAACTATAGTTTAGCTTATGGTAGATCAAATGGTCACTCTTGCAGAATTCTGCAAGGAAAAAGATAAATCAGTTGGTTAATAATTATATATGTAGATTTTGTCTAAAGAGGACAACGTTACCAGTAAAATAAGCAGTAATATGAAGCGATGAAACGCTGACAGATATAGGAAGTGACCAAGGACAGTTCTCAAAGCCATTCGGTTTACGTGGAGTCGCGGCTGTGATCCGAGGGCGTAAGAAGAAGTTTACTGAACTCTAATGGTTGATAAATAGTATGATTGTATTGTAGTATTAGAAGACAAGATAGTCGTTGAGGTGTTTACTTACCTAGTAATAGAGCTGCTAGGAAGCAATGGGTGCGTAGCTAGTGGTTTACAGGTTAGAAACCTTCTTGCCCCAGGAATATTCCAAAAATAGGAGGTTATTTCGAATAGAAGAGAGAGAGCGTAAAGCGATGGGTTGGAGTCCAGGCTTCTAGATGTAGATAAGAAGGCAAATGAGCTTACTTTTCCAAGTAACGGAGAGCGACAAAGACAAAGGTCTGTTATGGAATTAAGAGCTCGCTCCGCACCTGTTTGTTATAGCTAGTACATTTTATGTTCCCAGTTCAAGTTCGTACTAGTCCTGTACAGAAGATAGCCGATGTTCTTAGGCTCACAGAGCAGTCTCTTGCAGCCATTTCTAGACCAATAGCCGAAGCAGATGGGCAGGGAGGCCTGCAAAGGGGTAGGCAAACCATTCCTGGTAGAGCTGGGAAGGTAGGAACCTATGATGGTGGTTGTTAACCTTCTATTTAACGGTCTAGTTGAGTTCAGTGATTCGAAGGAGTAAAGAGTCTTAGTCAAGGGGTAATATGTTAGAAAGTTCAGAGTTTAGATGGAATGCTTGCTATTTACTTACCAAGTAATAAAGCTGCTAGGAAGCAATGGGTGTGCAGCTAACTAATAGGAAAGAAAACCAAAGGCTAAAATCTAAAATCTGATGAAGATGTGCCTTTTGTGGTACCATTACTGGAAAGTTGGAGCAGAAAGATGCTTGTAGGATAAGTCAGTGGTTGAGTATATCAATATCAGTGGGGTCCTTACCTATAGCAGAAAGAAGCACATACAACATGCAATCCTCTTATCTATATGGAATAGAGATTTAACAGAAGACTAAACAAGGTGATAAGAGAAGGCCTCAAAGTGAAGACGTTAATAGAAAATATAGGCTAAAAGAAACGAACAAAGGGTAAGTAAAGTTATCGAAGGCTGGAAGAGGCATCATTGATCGGTAGAGATGCCAATTTTCAGAATATTACAAAAGAGCATGAGCTCAAGTGAGAATATTACAGAAAGGCAGGAACTCACACTACTAATTAACAATTTACAAATTAGTTAGATTGCCCAAAGCTGAAGAGAAAAAATGATAAATAAACATGGCCAAGAAGTGTATCCAAATCTGCACAACCTAACAACATCATCACATGAACAGAGGGCTAAGATCAACATAATTTTTTATGAACAGGTAATGCTGTTAGTGTTCTACAAATATTCCATTCCCTTCGGAAAAAATGCAGTGCTCAGAATTAACAATAAAACAATGTCCATGAGGTACATGGCTACCTACGAGAACGTAATGCAGAAATTATGTAGCAGCATAATATCTATCAAAGATCAGATAAAAAAGGAATATGGGTTAATTCTCATTTCTCAGCATATCCATTAGTTCTCACACTATAGAGTCATTGACCTTATCAGAACATGACATTCTATTTACTAAAATTCATCATCACTGTAGTAAAAGTAGAGTTGCAAATTTATTGGTTTCTTGTCACCAGGATACAAATCATTTATCAGATGGTACATTCGTTCTTGAACTCTAAACGTATAGATACCACAATTTCTTTGTGTCAAGTCTGTATCGTAATGCACACCAAGCGGTGTAAATGCAAATAAACTACTATACGTTCTAATGTATGTCCGGAAGTGTTTATGTTTTCATGATTTCCTAAATATAGAGCACACAAATTAGTTCGCATTTGGTGTGAAATTATCTTAACCATACGACTGGCACAACAAAATTTACAAATAGAAACTTTTTTAAATGATACATAGTTTGATCATAGTTCAATATTCAGAGCAGTTCTTATTTTGCCAGTGACCTGGATACACTGAACGGTGGAACTGTGGAAGGAGTGAAAGAATGAGAACACATAATGGTTTAATTAAACATGAGACTATTCACTATGTTTGTATTATTGTAGCCCATCATTTCACAATGTATTGTATTATTTTTTGGAACAATGTTTGGGTAGATTGTATCGTTTGTTGTTGACAATAATATTTTTCTTGTTTGGCTTGATTGTATCATGTTATATTGTAACTGGTAAGTTTACTAAAATACCCTAAACTGTTGTATAAAATAATTTTATCACCAATTTCAAAAAAAATAAAATTAAGACAGCATATTTCTGCTAATTTGTCACAAATGATGCTTTGTAAATATACCAAGTTATTAAATTCATGCAAATTCAAATGAAATTAATGAAACTACGTACATGCAAAAATAAATCTGAATAAAAATTAAGCGGCACTTTCACATTTATAAAATATGGATATATTTATTGTTAACCGGCCTAATCTAGCAAATAAATAATTGAAAGATGTCAACGATTCAATATTGTTTAAGTATGACAAAAATACTGTTTAGAGGGATTTTGACTAGGTGAATCACATTACCAAATTCCACATTTTTTTAATAAACCAAAAAGAGCTACAATAATGTTTGGGCTTAGGTGTACAAATTTAAAGAAAAAAATCAAACCCAAGCCAAAAACAAACACAATTAAATTCATGCAACTGATTGTATGAACATAAACTACTAAATAGCACATGCAACATAGAATATGATCTGCTCACTTCAAAAACAACCGAGACATGCAACTCAAACATAATTATTTTCAAAAATATTTTTGAAAAGATACTTTTCTTTTGGGATCAAGTATATCATACATGGTCCAGAACTTATAGCAAAGTAAGTGTTTTTCAATAAGTAGTGTTATTAATTGTTAACTGGCCCAGGCTCTCTTTGCAACTATAACATTGTTTGCATGTTAAAGTTCATAAGAAATAGATGTGATGAAAATAAAGAAATGCAATAAAGGTCCTCCATAAACTGAGATATAGTAAAGCAGAAAAGGAACTTTAAAAATATGGTTATGGACAAAGAAAGGTACCTGTAATTTCGAAACAAGGGCAGAAAGCTGAGCAAATAACATAGTTAACTATACAGAAAGAAAAAGAGTACAAACATAGGATATGGTATTTGGGTGGAGTTAAATATTATAGGGTAAAAAAAAAATATTAAGGACATAATTTGAAAGAGAAATTAGGTAACAACGCGATCAAACCAAATAGGTCATTACATAAATGGGCGCTTTTCATTGTTACGTAATGACGGATTTAGCAATACAATTTAATATATTTTAAATAGTAATCAAAAAAAGTTTTTTTGTAAGATATAATACGATACAATGGGTAACAACGATCCAAACCAGATGTAAAACAAACCTTTAGTAATGAATGGCTGGCTTAGCTGTACAGCAAGTTTTTATTACAAGACCTGATGTTGAACCTGACATAAAAATATTTTTCAATGAGTATTAATGAATTTTGTAGATTCCGCTAAAGTTATGACAACTTTCAGTAACTTACCTTTCTCATAGATGGAGTGAGGATTTCCATTGTCAAAAGCAGGAAACAAGGGAAGCTCAGTAACTGCGTATATAGCAGGCAATGATCAGACTAGATGTTCAGAATAGTAACTGAAAATGCATATTCATGCTGGGAAAGGAATATGCATTTGCACAAAATGGTGAAACAGAGTGTGTGTTTTGAAAAAGGGGTAACTGTAAAACAGTGAAACAGTGTGTTCTATCCAAAGTTCAATAAATTTTAGATCTGATATGTTAACCTATTCTGGAAGTAGAGCAAGAGTTTTTCATATTAATAGTACGCTTTTCATTAGCCATCATAAGTTTGTAGAGTTCACGGCGCCTAACATTTCTATCATCATCTTTCTTATCAGAGTTGGGGCGTTTGCTTGTTTGTCCAGCATCCATGGATATAAAATTTGTTGCTCCCAATTTTTTTGTCGCTACAAGTGTTATACCCTCCTTACTACTGTTGGGCCTGTTCCCCCTAACAATTTATCAAATTAGTAGTATTATTTATATGGAAAATTTTGGATAAAGAAAATATAGAGCAATAAAGATAACTTTCAATGAACAAGGTTTTTGATCCAAAAACCTTCAAAAATCATGCTTCATATTTAGTTAGCAGATCAAGATGAGCAGTGCATAATTTAACGATTAAATCAAGCCAAAGCTTGATCAAGACTTTACCCAAACACTTGACCTACAAGTTCAACTCTTTCCTCTACTTCACCTTTTAACCTCAAACTCAGTAGAAACAAAACTAAACTACTGGGAAAATGAAAGACAACCAAACTATCAGCAGATAAACCAAGTAGCAAGTCAGAATACAAATTTAAACCTTTAGGGGTCATTTGTAGTTGGTTAGAGTTATGCATGTAGGGATTAGTTATGAGTGAATATATGTATTATTTTATGTTAGTATTAGTTATTCATGTATTAGTTATTCCACCTTCTATCCTGCATAAAATAATGCATAGATTCCCTCACAACTTAATCATGTATTAGCTATGCAGATTTCTACTTCATAAAAAAAAAAAGCTATGCAGATTTCTAAATTGCAAAGCAAACACTGAATTAACTTTATACATGAATAATACCTCCTAATCAGCTACCATAGTATTACTTATGCAGAATTTAATACCTGCATAACTCACATCTCAACAAGCTATCAAGCGACACCTTAGTTCAAATAGATAACAAATGATGGTGGTTTCTATGGAACCTGATAACATATGGGAACACCATCAGAATGGACTGTTCTTAATAAATGGGGTGTATATAGCGGGGTGACTGAATTAACAGGGAGGTCAACAGGACCCCGAAAGTCTGTATGGAAGAGTGTGGCACCAATTAAGTTGAAATGCTTCACCTGGCTAGTACTTAGACGAGCTAGAGCTAGTCGGACTCATGACACACCACAGAAAAGGGAAAAATCTACATGGCTTCTAGATGCTCGTTATGTAAGGAGGCTTTAGAGACAAACAACCACCTTTTCTACGGTGTAAAGTTACATCACAAGTGTTGGCATTTTTCATCAATTTGGCTAAGGTGAATTTTAAGTTGTTGGATAAGGAGGGGAGGTAGCAAGAGCCAGAAGATTTGGTGCAAAACAATACTTGCCTGTATTTGGTGGAACATTTAGAAGGAAAGAAATGAAAGGATTTTTGAAGGCAAAGAGATCTCCATACAGAAGACGTCGCGTTATCAAGCAAATGGCCAGGCAGGCATGTTGAGAAACAGAGGCCTGAAGCAGGTAAGAGTTGCTTCTCATATAAGAGAAATGTAAAATTTACCTACTAATGTTTTGTCTAATGGCCAAATGCCCCATGGTGTTTTCCGGCTCCTCCTTCAAGGACTCCTCCATCTTATTTATCGACTTAACTGAATTGTACTACCTAATTACCCTTTTTCAGAAACTTCTAGTTCTCTATGGTGTACGAGGAGGGCCGGTTATTAACCTAGACTTACTGAATAGGAATTCCACCAAGTTCTTGAACACATGCTGATACGAAATTAGTGCACTGTATTTGGCTTTTGAAAGAAGAAAAGAAAAAGGAAAGATCTCTATACCTTTACCTTCTCGTTTTTTCATCTTAGAATCTAAAGATTGACAATATCCCTTTCATTTTTTTTATATCCCTCTCTTCTTAGTTGCTCATCATTCAAGGAATCTAATGGTTATAGACTACCTACTTGTGGCTTTGTTGAATTACTTACCCCTAGCAGTAGCAAGGACCCGCAACTCTCAAAGGGGTTACCAACCAGCCGAATCACTATAGCAAACCCTCTCTTTACTTAATGGATAGCGTTTATTCTCTTTCAATAAACAAAATGAGAAATTGGGGAGAAAGAAGAAAAGCTAAATATGGTGCGTGAAAGCTGGGCCGGCACCACGGTCATCAAACAAAAAAAGAAGAAAAGCTAAATATGGTAATGAAACCAGCGTTGGCATTTGCTACCTAAATGCCATTGGACCCTATACCTCACTGACCAAAGACAGAGGCGCATAGTATTGGACTAAATTATGACCACTGTATACCTGTGTCATTGACAAATATAAGCCAGTCAAGCATACATATTGTTTTGTAGTAGATTTCTTGCAAAACGAGCAAAATTAAAGTAATGCTAAAGGAGGAAATACCAACAAAGAAGCCCAAACAGTTGCCTTTCTTGAAGCAAAATACTTCAGCAAAGAGTGGTTGCATGAACTTTCTAGCTAGTACATCAACAGAACCCCTAATGCAACTGCATGTTAATGGCAACTGAAATTGGAATTTCAGTCAAGACGAAGACTAAAATCCTATCAGCAAGATGTAGAAGAGAAGAGGAAGATGAAGGAACCTTGTTGTCAGATCAACACAATAAAAAGAAAGGCATGTGATCATGACAACTAAATTCTGTTCATAAAGTGGTCTTTAGAATTACCACCGAGAAAATTGGATAGAAACAGTAGGCAGTTAGCTTGCAAACAACAATCCAAGACTATTCTACCATTCTTAATGCAAGAGTTTGGCACCCAAGAGCAAAAATATCGTCATACACTTTAATTGGAGTAATGATAGGCAATTGTTGGATCTGTGATTACGATTTATTGGACTGAGTTGGGTTATACGTATATCCTTAAAAGAACCGTTAAGTTGCTGGAAAGAAAGAAGGATCACAAGGAATCTGAAGATAACTTGGAAGACTGTTCCAGCATGTACTGGTTGGGTCTTTTGGAGTAATAACAGGTATAGTTACCCAAGGAAGAAACACAACAGATCCTCTACCAAATCCAATTTCAGTAAATAGGCAGTGCAAAAGTTTTCTAGTATACTAAAGAAACCCAAGGTGCAAAGACTGAAGGAAACAGCAAAGCACCAGCCAATCATTACCTGCTATAAGATCAACGAATTATAAAGAAACAAAAAACTCTACAACGCATATGAAGAAACTAAGTTCTGTTCATAGAAGTGATTTTTGGCAGTACCACTGAGGGTCGACATATTTGCCTAGAAGCAGTAAGTCAATTTTTCAACTATAATCCAAGACAAATAGATAGAAAAACACACAAACCATATAAGTATCATGCACCAAACATCCACCAGGAAAGAAATTAAGACAAGTGTTTACAGTCTGCCTTTAAAACAAAGAGTTTCAGTACCCTAGGGTATTAAATGTGCCATACACTTCTGGCACATGGAAACTTTGACCTTCCACAATACATCAAAAGAGGTCTTCAATGTCAGCCTGAACCCTGCAATGCAATGTAATGTTTGCATGAAATTGAGAAGACTTATAAGAGAAAACAAGTTGGCATATGCTTAAGGGATCAGCACCTAAACTTCAGTGACTAACTTCAATCAAAAACTTACTGAGCTAAAGGACTTCAAGTGCAACATAGCTAACTAATTGGACAATGAAGGTTTTTTGACTTGCATGCTCTTCCTTTCTTTCTTCCGCAATCCACTCATGTGAGAAAGAGATGCACTCCGCATTCTAAATTTAGATTTTGCCCTTGAGATCCTTCTTTTCCCATCTTTGGGCTCTCTCTTCCATAAATCAGATGCCTCCTCACAAGCATCTCCAACACAATTATTTGTCCATCTATCAGGTAAAACAAGGCTCTCTTTGTAAAAATTAACATAGCGTGGATTGTAACACCAATCATTTGATGAGTTACCAATGTCAACATCTTTAAACCTATCAATTGTATGATCAACTGAAACCAATAATCTTTGGTTACCTTTCCATAAGATTTCACCATTTTTCCTTATAGCCATTGGCTTCATAAAGTCAGTAGCAATCTCAAACTCAGTTGGAGCAGCTCTTCCAAAATAAGGTGTCCAAAAAATGTCATCACGAAGAGGAATATGTTGTGGAAAGTGATAATTTTGGATGCTGAACTGTTTCTCCCAGGAGTCTGGTGCACCATACTCTTTCATCATCCAAATCTTAATAGGTTCACGTTTGTCATAGTTATTATCAACCAAACAAAGAGATTCCTCTAACACAAAAAGGAAGACTTCATCAAAATGTGTTTGTGACTCATTGATTAAACTACTCGGCAATATCATATCTGAGAATGTCTCATCATGCATGTTGAACACAACAATCACCCTCCAATTCCTCCGAACTGGTGTAAACTCCAATTTGGTAGTAATCCAATGACAAGCGCCGTTCACATACACCTGTGGCGCAATGGCAATGAATATGTAAGGCCCGAGGACATGGGTAATGTCTTCCCAAACACCAGTACTTAACTTATAAAGATCAGCATGAGGTGACACAGAATGACCCTTAGTGTGTACTACTCTTACCACCTTGTAGTCATTAGTAACCGGATCAAACCCAAACCCCAGTGTATAACCAAAGGTATTTCTATCATTACATAAATAAACTGGTTCTGGGAGTTTTACCGACTTTCTGATGGATAGGTTACAAAAATATAAATGGGTCAAGGTGTCAGTATCGGTGTCGGTGTCTGCAAGGCACAAAATACCATTAAAACTACCCACTATACTAACGGAACCTCTACGAAATAAAAAATCTAAGAAATCGTCCGGATCCAACCTCTCATTGTTACCAAACAAAGGATACATATCTATTCTTCGGGTGTTTTTAGCGTAATTTCTAATTAGCATATGATCATCTCGTTTTCGATTGAGATGTGTGAAGGTAAAGCTAGGGCTAGTAAGAAGAGAATACCATGACTTGCAAACACTTCTGCATCGGAGGATTGATTTGACTGGTAGTTTTGTGAAGATATCAAGCAACAATTCTTCGGGCAAATAATCCGACATATCTCTCCGGCGACGGATCTATTCACCTGAGCTGAATTTCTCCGTTCTTCGTTAGCTAAACAAACCCCAATCTTCTACCCCTTTGTGGTTGAACCCTAAAATCTGCTTCTATATTATATTTTCAGTCTTTTTGGAAACAGAAAAAGCTATATACCGTCAATTTTGCATTTAGTGCATGTATACACTGGTCGTCTATAATAAATGGTACTATATATTTATTTTTTCGTAAATATATTGAATTATTTTTAAAAAAATAAATTATATTGACTTTTTTAGTTTCAAATTTGTCATATAGCTTAAAAAATTAACTTGCTCATTTTTTATTTCTCTAGACTTGACTTTCTAAATAAACGCAATTCTTCTTTTATTCAAGCTCAATTCAAATTTATTTTATGATTGAGTTGAAGAGGGATTGAGCTTTTTTTTCATTTGAATTGAGTTTGGACGGGTAAAAATAATGAATGTGATTTTTTAAATTGACGTGAGATTTTTTGAATTAGAAAATCACTTTTAGATTTTTAATTTAGTAAATATAAGTCTATTAATGAAAAAGATAAATATGCATAATTTGTTAGATTGCGGGGTACATATACACCATTTTTTTAATGAGTCATATAATCATTCTAAATCGTAAAATTGAGGGAAGTATTTGCCCATTTTCCATCTCTCTTTTTTTGTTGATACATACTTTTATAATCTAATTTAAATTTGAACACATATTTATTCTAAACCTTTAGTTCTCATTTCTTTGTCTTCAATTTTATTATACTATGTAGCATTTATATAGATAAAATATTTTATTCTAATTTAAAATCTTATCATAATTAAATTCAATCCAATTCGCAAGTAATTTTTTTCAGGGTAAATCTTATTATTAAAATAAATATCTGATTACAACTTTTTATTTTAGTAAAATAAAAAAATCCTACATAATAATGAAGTTTCTCTTATTATATTGTATTTAAATATAATAATTAGCAATTTTGATAATGTATTTTTTGGGGCAAAATTTATATTAAAAATGACAAACTTCGCTATTTTGAGCCAATAAATCACCTCAAAAGTTGAGTTATGGCCAAGTATTTTTTTTACTAATTTGACCCAGAAAAATTTACACTAAAAATTTAATAAATTTTTAAAGGTATATATATATAATAAAAGGTGACACTTCTGTAAAAAAAAACAAATCTATATGACATGCGAGTGTATCACTATGGTAGGATGAGATCGTCCGGGAGGAGGAGTTAAGGTTATCAAATAGCCAAGTTCATGAGATATTAAGACTAATGATAATTTGGATATGCAATTAGGGATCTTTAAGGTATTTTGTCTTTTTATTTATTTATTTTATTTTCAGTTTAACCCTAGAAGTTTTTCAAAGTTCGGTGTGATCATTTTCTCTATTATTTAAAAGATTAAAAAATATTTTTAAAAAATGATAGAAATTTGAAAAACTCGACTATTATTAATTTGACTTGATTTAGTTTTACTATATATTATAAAAGAGAGTTTATGCCCAAGTGGAGCAATTCTACTGGCTTAGATTTCTACTATATTTCTACTATATAATTAATTAATATTGCTCACAAGTTTTGTACATTTTCTATATATTATAAAAGAGAGTTTATGCCCAAGTGGAGCAATTCTACTGGCTTAGATTTCTACTATATTTCTACTATATAATTAATTAATATTGCTCACAAGTTTTGTACATTTTCTATATATTATAAAAGAGAGTTTATGCCCAAGTGGAGCAATTCTACTGGCTTAGATTTCTACTATATTTCTACTATATAATTAATTAATATTGCTCACAAGTTTTGTACATTTTCTATATATTATAAAAGAGAGTTTATGCCCAAGTGGAGCAATTCTACTGGCTTAGATTTCTACTATATTTCTACTATATAATTAATTAATATTGCTCACAAGTTTTGTACATTTTCTATATATTATAAAAGAGAGTTTATGCCCAAGTGGAGCAATTCTACTGGCTTAGATTTCTACTATATTTCTACTATATAATTAATTAATATTGCTCACAAGTTTTGTACATTTTCTATATATTATAAAAGAGAGTTTATGCCCAAGTGGAGCAATTCTACTGGCTTAGATTTCTACTATATTTCTACTATATAATTAATTAATATTGCTCACAAGTTTTGTACATTTTCTATATATTATAAAAGAGAGTTTATGCCCAAGTGGAGCAATTCTACTGGCTTAGATTTCTACTATATTTCTACTATATAATTAATTAATATTGCTCACAAGTTTTGTACATTTTCTATATATTATAAAAGAGAGTTTATGCCCAAGTGGAGCAATTCTACTGGCTTAGATTTCTACTATATTTCTACTATATAATTAATTAATATTGCTCACAAGTTTTGTACATTTTCTATATATTATAAAAGAGAGTTTATGCCCAAGTGGAGCAATTCTACTGGCTTAGATTTCTACTATATTTCTACTATATAATTAATTAATATTGCTCACAAGTTTTGTACATTTTCTATATATTATAAAAGAGAGTTTATGCCCAAGTGGAGCAATTCTACTGGCTTAGATTTCTACTATATTTCTACTATATAATTAATTAATATTGCTCACAAGTTTTGTACATTTTCTATATATTATAAAAGAGAGTTTATGCCCAAGTGGAGCAATTCTACTGGCTTAGATTTCTACTATATTTCTACTATATAATTAATTAATATTGCTCACAAGTTTTGTACATTTTCTATATATTATAAAAGAGAGTTTATGCCCAAGTGGAGCAATTCTACTGGCTTAGATTTCTACTATATTTCTACTATATAATTAATTAATATTGCTCACAAGTTTTGTACATTTTCTATATATTATAAAAGAGAGTTTATGCCCAAGTGGAGCAATTCTACTGGCTTAGATTTCTACTATATTTCTACTATATAATTAATTAATATTGCTCACAAGTTTTGTACATTTTCTATATATTATAAAAGAGAGTTTATGCCCAAGTGGAGCAATTCTACTGGCTTAGATTTCTACTATATTTCTACTATATAATTAATTAATATTGCTCACAAGTTTTGTACATTTTCTATATATTATAAAAGAGAGTTTATGCCCAAGTGGAGCAATTCTACTGGCTTAGATTTCTACTATATTTCTACTATATAATTAATTAATATTGCTCACAAGTTTTGTACATTTTCTATATATTATAAAAGAGAGTTTATGCCCAAGTGGAGCAATTCTACTGGCTTAGATTTCTACTATATTTCTACTATATAATTAATTAATATTGCTCACAAGTTTTGTACATTTTCTATATATTATAAAAGAGAGTTTATGCCCAAGTGGAGCAATTCTACTGGCTTAGATTTCTACTATATTTCTACTATATAATTAATTAATATTGCTCACAAGTTTTGTACATTTTCTATATATTATAAAAGAGAGTTTATGCCCAAGTGGAGCAATTCTACTGGCTTAGATTTCTACTATATTTCTACTATATAATTAATTAATATTGCTCACAAGTTTTGTACATTTTCTATATATTATAAAAGAGAGTTTATGCCCAAGTGGAGCAATTCTACTGGCTTAGATTTCTACTATATTTCTACTATATAATTAATTAATATTGCTCACAAGTTTTGTACATTTTCTATATATTATAAAAGAGAGTTTATGCCCAAGTGGAGCAATTCTACTGGCTTAGATTTCTACTATATTTCTACTATATAATTTGCCGTAATACATATAGCGAAATATCTCATATCCTTCAAAATTCAACACTTGCTGTCCCCGAGCAACCAACATCATCTTGGTGCAGTTCACCAGTCCCAAAACAGGTTGCTCTTACCATACGAGAGCCACTTCCGGTTGTTCAAAAAGGTTCGAAACACGGATATTCAAATACTTCTATTCTGCTTGTGTGTTGTGCATCTATCAATACTTGATTTGCAACTTTAATTATCGTAACTACTCTTTGTCCCAGCTGCCCGTCCTCAGCTATCTGTGACCACATCAGACAATAACAAAGAAAAAGGAAAGGATTTATGCACGTCCTCTGTCATTAGTGAAACAGGTAACTTTGTCTTTACAGAATATTTTTCAACTGTGGAATATTGTATATACGCTATTGTAACATACAACTTTTTGCATATAAGGGAGCGTATCCAACACATCTAACCAAGCTCTTCAGATCCAAAATACAATTCCAACCAAAGGTCCGCACAAATCTTACAATACAGTAATGTCCTCTCTTCCTCAATATTGGTGCTCTCTTTACTTATAATGATCTTTCTTAAAAACTCAGATACTAGAAAAACAAAAGGAGTATATCTGGCCACAACCAACCACCGGAGTGAATATCTTGCTTTAAAAAAGGCTTCCAACTGTCAATATTGTAATGCCAAAAAATTTGAGTATGAACCTCTTGGATTTTGTTGTAGTAATGGTTCAATAAGACTGACATCATATAAAATGCCAACTGAATTATCAAACCTATACTTTGCAAAAACTGAGGAGTCCAAAAATTTTCGAACTTATATTAGAACGTACAATAATATGTTTGCATTTACTTCATTGGGTGTTAAGTACGATAAAGAACTAGCGAAAAGAAACTCTGGTGTTTACACATTCAAAGTTCAGGGAAAAATGTACCATTTTATAGATGATTTGATTCCTTCAAATGACAAACCCAAAAATTTGCAGTTATACTTTTATGATCATGATAATGAACTGCCCAATAGAATGGCCTGCTCAAATAAAATTGACCAGTCAATAGTTCAAAAACTAATGGACATACTAAAAGTTAACCCATATAGTATTTTCCTAAGATCTCTCTTCAATGTTTCAGACTTATCTGATTTTTACATTGCACTTAAATGTGACTCAACTTTGGATCAAAGAACACATAATTTACCCACTGCCTCAGAAATCGCTGCAATATGGGTTGAAGAAGACTCTACTCACCCTATTTCTACACCACATATTCGAATTTATACTCATAGTAATAGAGCTCAATTAGTAAATTATTATTATGGCTGCTATGATCCACTACAATATCCATTATTATTTCCATTTGGAGAAAATGGATGGCACTGTGGAATCAAAAGAATCTTGCAAACAAATAATATGAGAAGAAATAAAGCTCACTGTGAACATGAGCAGTTGCCCAGTATATCAAATATGTGTTCAATAGATGGTTTTCTTGATATGGAAGCTCAATCATTGCAAAAAGGAAAAAGAAAAAGAGATGCAATATCTTGCCGAGAGTATTACTGTTACAAATTCCAAATTAGAGAAGATGAAACAAATCAGGTAGTACATTGTGGAAGAATATTTCAACAATTTATAGTTGATATTTATATAAAAGTTGAAACACAAAGATTAGACTTTTTCTCATTCAACCAGGATTTATGTAGAATCGAAGTCTTGCAAGGGATTCTTGATATATTAAGATGTGGAGAAAGGGAAGCTTCAAATATTGGAAAGAAAAATTTCCTACCTGTTACTTTTATAGGAGGACCAAGAGACATGCATCGACGATATATGGACGCCATTGCATTGGTGCAATACTTTGGAAAACCTGATTTATTCATAACAATGACATGCAACCCATCTTGGCCAGAAATAAAAGAACAACTACTACTCAATGATGAAGTACAAAACAGACCCGATTTGGTTAGTAGAGTTTTTAGAGCAAAAGTAGAACAATTAAAAAAAGATATATTAAAAAGACAAATTTTTGGAAAGGTTGCTGCTTTTATGTATACTATAGAGTTTCAAAAACGTGGTCTTCCACATGCTCATTTCCTTATTATACTTGCTAATGAACACAAATTGCTAACTCCTGAATCTTATGATAAATTTGTATGTGCTGAACTTCCTGATTCTGTTGTAGATCATGATTTATACTCATTTGTTATCAAACATATGATGCATGGCCCTTGTGGAAAATTAAATCCCACAAATAGTTGCATGAAACAAAAAGGTAAGTGCAAATTCAAATATCCAAAAGATTTTGCTGAACGAACATCCAAAGGAAAGAATTCATATCCAATATACAAGCGGAGAAAAACCAAAGAATGTGTCAAAAAGAAGGGCATTTTCCTAGACAATTCATGGGTTGTTCCATATAATCCTTTCTTGTTATGCAAGTATAATTGTCATATGAATGTTGAAGTTTGTTCTGATATCAAAGTAGTCAAATATATCTACAAATATATTTGTAAAGGACATGATAAAATTACTTTTCAAATACATGATAGTAATATAGATACTGACGTAGATGAAATAAAAGAATACCAGGATCAAAGAACACATAATTTACCCACTGCCTCAGAAATCGCTGCAATATGGGTTGAAGAAGACTCTACTCACCCTATTTCTACACCACATATTCGAATTTATACTCATAGTAATAGAGCTCAATTAGTAAATTATTATTATGGCTGGGATGGTTCCCCAAAAAATCCCTTATTCTTTTCAACGCCATTGCATTGGTGCAATACTTTGGAAAACCTGATTTATTCATAACAATGACATGCAACCCATCTTGGCCAGAAATAAAAGAACAACTACTACTCAATGATGAAGTACAAAACAGACCCGATTTGGTTAGTAGAGTTTTTAGAGCAAAAGTAGAACAATTAAAAAAAGATATATTAAAAAGACAAATTTTTGGAAAGGTTGCTGCTTTTATGTATACTATAGAGTTTCAAAAACGTGGTCTTCCACATGCTCATTTCCTTATTATACTTGCTAATGAACACAAATTGCTAACTCCTGAATCTTATGATAAATTTGTATGTGCTGAACTTCCTGATTCTGTTGTAGATCATGATTTATACTCATTTGTTATCAAACATATGATGCATGGCCCTTGTGGAAAATTAAATCCCACAAATAGTTGCATGAAACAAAAAGGTAAGTGCAAATTCAAATATCCAAAAGATTTTGCTGAACGAACATCCAAAGGAAAGAATTCATATCCAATATACAAGCGGAGAAAAACCAAAGAATGTGTCAAAAAGAAGGGCATTTTCCTAGACAATTCATGGGTTGTTCCATATAATCCTTTCTTGTTATGCAAGTATAATTGTCATATGAATGTTGAAGTTTGTTCTGATATCAAAGTAGTCAAATATATCTACAAATATATTTGTAAAGGACATGATAAAATTACTTTTCAAATACATGATAGTAATATAGATACTGACGTAGATGAAATAAAAGAATACCAATCTGGTAGGTGGGTTTCACCTCCTGAGGCAGCCTGGCGATTATTTAAATTTCCAATCAGTGAAATGACTCCATCTGTCTATCACCTTCAGTTACATTTACAAGGACAACAATTTGTTTCCTTTAAGAGTATTGACAAGGTAGATAAAATTCTAAATAATCCGATGATCGGAAAAACAATGTTAACTGAATTTTTTGCTATGAATAGAACAAACATTGATGCTATGCAACTATCATTATTATATAAAGAATTTCCTGAATACTTTGTATGGTCAACAAAAGACAAAATGTGGACACGTCGAAAACAACGTTCTGTTATTGGCCGTGTTGTAACATGTCATCCAACAGAAGGAGAAAGATATTACCTTAGATTATTACTCATGAATGTTAGAGGACCAAAATCATATGAGGATTTACTTAAAGTAGGTGCTGAATACTGTAGTACATTTAGAGAGTCTGCAGAAAAAAGAGGCTTGTTACATTGTGATAACAACTTAGTGGAATGTATGTCTGAGGCTGTCACTTACCAAATGCCATATAGTTTAAGACGTTTGTTTGCAACATTACTGGTCTATTGTAATCCTGCCAATCCAGCAGAAATTTGGAAACAATTTGAAGCTCCAATGTCAGAAGACTTTCAAATTCTACCTAACATGAATCCAAAAAATATTACTTACCTGACTTTAAATCATATTAATGACTTTTTGCATTTGATGGGACATGATATTAACGAATATAAATTGATTGCAGAGACAGTAAAATCTTCAACAGATGTCAAAGAAGCTACTGAATGTTTGTTTGAGAGAAACATTATTGTTGCAGAAGAGGATTTGTTGCTACAGACAAAATTAAATACCCAACAACGAATAGCATATGATACAATCCTTGATAGAATATTTTCCAACAAATCAGGAGCTTTTTTTGTTGATGGACCTGGAGGAACAGGTAAAACTTTTTTATATCGTGCCTTATTAGCTGCTGTACGGTCAAGAGGTTTTGTTGCCTTAGCAACAGCAAGTTCAGGTGTCGCAGCTTCGATCCTCCCAGGAGGACGAACTGCTCACTCTCGCTTTAAGTTTCCCATTGAAATAGATCAAAATTTTTGTTGTAACATCAGTAAACAAAGCTCACTAGCAGCTTTAATACGTGATGCCAAATTAATCGTATGGGATGAAGTATCTATGGCCAAAAAAGGACTGCTAGAAGCTTTTGATATTCTCTTGAGAGATTTAATGGACACAAATATCTTATTTGGTGGAAAAGTCGTTGTCTTTGGTGGTGATTTTAGACAAACTCTTCCTGTTGTTCGCAGTGGAAAAAAGGATGATTTCATTCGAGAGAGTTTACTGTTTTCTGAAATTTGGAATCAGCTTGAAAAATTGCGATTATCTGACAATATGCGAGCAAAAACAGACCCCACATTTTGTGAGTACTTGCTAAGAATTGGAAATGGAAAAGAAAAAGTACATGATAATGATAAAATTCAAATACCCCATTGCTTTATTATACCTTTTATTTCTGAAAATGAATCATTAGATGTCCTATTTAGACTAACTTATCCGGATCTACATACATGTACTTCTAATGTATCTTCTATGACCTCTCGTGTAATTTTGACGACAAAAAATGACTTCGTTGATCAAATGAATGATTTGCTTATAACTCAATTTCCTGGTGATCCTAAAACATATGTTTCATTTGATGAGACTATTGAACCGAATGATCAAAGTCAATATGAAGATTTTCTACACACCCTACATCCAGCTGGTTTGCCTCCCCACAAATTGACATTAAAAAAATATTGCCCTGTCATGTTACTAAGAAATCTAAATCCTTGTGAGGGCTTATGCAATGGTACTAGACTTATATGTAATGATCTTCAAAAACATGTTATCAGTGCAACAATTGCAACTGGAGATTTCAAAAACAAGCATGTATTTATTCCAAGAATACCATTATTATCATCTGCAGATGAAAAATTGCCTGTTCCTTTTAAAAGAACACAATATCCTTTACGCTTATGTTTTGCTATGACAATAAATAAAGCTCAAGGTCAAACATTGGACTTTGTTGGAATTTATTTACGAGAACCTGTTTTCTCACATGGACAACTGTATGTGGCTTTATCAAGAGCAAGAAGTTCCAATTGTATAAAAATATTAATTCGCCCACCAACACCAGATGATGACGATGATCATTCAACATACAACATAGTCTACAACGAAATCATTCAAAAAGCATTCACATGAAACCATCCTTGGATGCCCCTAAATCCTTTTGACTGTGCCTCTTCCATCAGAAAAGCCTGCCCTCAGATTTGACAAAGTCCTATAGATCAGTCCACCATTATGATACAGGTATTTTACTTTTATTTGTATAAATTATAGTCATATTTTTTCCCTGCACATAATTTACACTACAAAGTAAACGTTTAACCTTCAGTTTATTCCTGCTTCCATCGCCGTCTACCAAAACGACCGGAAATGTTTCAAAAGAAAGTAGGCACGCCAAGCATGGACTTTGAGGTGCTTCAGAAGATTAATGAAGGTGTGTTCCCACTGTCTTAAGTTTACATACTCTAAAATTGTGTCGATTGATAATTTTGAATTTAAATTTCTATGAAATTGTCTGCTGTGTAAATCAAGTAGTTGACCACCCTGTCAGAAGATATATGAACAGGCGAGAAATCAATTGAAGTTGATTTCTTTGTTAAAAGCAGGTATATGAACAGGCGAGTCAACCTTATTCTTTTGAATACATGTCCAATGAAAAGAACTTGATAAACTGAAATCAGATTTCCTAAGGTATGGTAGCAGTGGAAAATTGAAATATCTTATACTTTGATACTAAGCGTTATTTAAACCACCCTGTCAGAACATTAGGAATTAAAAGTAAAACCATGATGGAAAAAAAATAATTCCTTAGAGCCAGAATAGTTGTTAATTTGGCAAACTACTTACTCACATTGTTTGTAAATTTGCGCTGAAATGTTTAGCAAAGCGAAGAGGAATATTTTGGAAGCACTTCACTGATTTTCTTTGAAAAGGAAGAATATTTTGGATCACATGAACTTTGATGACTCCCTCAAATTTGCAGATGTATCATTTTTTAATCATTTCTATTGATTTTTAGTCCACTGTTTGCGAATTTTCTGAAGATCCTTAATTTTTGGTTGGTCTTTTAGCTCCACAAAAATCATAACCTGGTAACCATCTCAGAAGATTCTCCAATTCTGTCTCCTTTGCATCCTGTGGTAGCTCAAAGATGAAAATTGTCCAAACGTAAAAAAGACAGCACCCGTAATTGATTAACTTGAGGAATAGCAGAAAAAGCAAGATTAGTACAAGTAAGATCATATACACATTATCAATTGTTTTCTATTCATAACTTTATATTTCAATTCTTTTGGTATTCTTTACTATTGAAATATAGTACTTCTGATTCTTCAAAAGTACTATATTTTTGGAGAATTCAACACGATTGCGGCAACAAAAATGAAGAGTCCCCACAACTTAGGTCTACAGTATCCTGTTTATAATAGTGATTTTCACTCTTTTTGCCATCTTATTCATATATCTTCTTCTTTGGAAAACCATTGGTCTACTGCTCTTACACTAAACTAATAACTCTGTTGTTCCGTCCACGCCATTCTAATTGGTGGTTACACATACATTTGTTTATTTTAATTATCATAGTTCATCTTTTACTATTGTCTTGCATAGTTTCCCCATTTAACAATCATAATAAATTATCTATTTTTTGTTTGTCAGCTTATCTTCTCCTTCCTTCTCTGCTTCCAGACGAGTTCATCTCTTAGTTACAAACTCAGGTATCTTTTTACCCAAAATTTCTTTTATTTTTCTCAGTTCCCCTTCTGCTTCTTTTGTTTTCACGAGACACTGATTCAAGTGCCGGTCCAAACCATATGAATAGACTAGGCGGTCAACAAGATTTAGAGGAATCCCCAGTCGTGGTCACAGGTACCTTATCTATTTTCTCACTTGATGTATACGCTTTCATAAACTCTGGAGCTGCTCTCTCATATACTAAATACAGTCAGACTTTGTTATGCCAACCATTTGTCCACAAATCTACTATGATTGTCTATACCTTAAATCCTTAACTAACTCAACTCAAGTGGAAAGCACAGGTATTCCCCAGTTATTGATCTGTACATAGCCAAACAGTGAAAATGTTATATATTAGACTTTTCCGCACCAAATAGGAGGAATATGACAGCACAATACATAACAGAACTAATAGCTATTGCTCTAAATATTAGTTAGTTTTGAATTCTGAAGTTACTGAAAAAGAATTGTGCTTCTTTTTTGTTATAATCGGTTGTTTCTCTTGCGGTATGCTAAATTTCGATGGGTACATGATTATTATACTTGAGCAGCTGCATATTGGTACTGCTTCTTATATTTTCCACCTGCATACTTCAACCCACCCCTCAAGTTTATTTGTAGTATTACTAATTTGGTTTGCTATTATAATGTTTCCTTTTTTGATTTATATTAGGTTTGAGCAAACGACAACAACTTTTGCTGTCACTAATATGGACTATTTCATCGCTGGGAATACTAGAGATCCTACAAGCAATGATTGATAATGGCATATATTACACAAAAATAAAAATGAACACAAATGTTTACTGCTGCTCTTTTTTTCTTTCAAAGTGTTAATTCTGGTTCTTTGTGATCTTACGACAATATGCTTCTCTCTCACTTGTCTTATGTTTTTCATAGTGTTGAAATTCACTGAACCTCATATGTTGTATGTGGGTACTCTTATTATGTCTTAAATAGCGTCAAAGAAAGTACAAGTTTGTCATAAAAAAACTTATTCCTTTATCCACGCAACCAAAACATACCTTTCATATTATTGGGCCCGTGCATAGCACGGGCAACACAATCTAGTATAAATATAAAAACTAGATCTTTCATTTGATTTGATATTTGAAAATTTTGAACCAACTTTGACTATGTACACCCTAACGAGGAGTAAGTACTAGATGTTCCTCATGTTTGATTTATTATCAGGATGGTTTGACCTGATAGATTTTGAACTATTTTCAAACACTTTAGTTTGCAATTGTGTTAAACACGTTTAACTCTAACTCTAGTAGTTGTTCTACTTAGTTTTAACAAAACTTTTTAGTATAATAAGAAACTCAAGTGTCATAACAAGAGGAAATAGCAACGCACAAGCCAATAATTTACTTGAACTTCATGAATATCCGATAAGATCAACAAATCAATCATCAATCAATCAATATATATAAAGCTAGATGAAAAAATGAGTGATGTGGCACCTCTTAATGGCCAAATATCATGTTTATATTTTTTGTGATTTTTTTGACATTTTCTTTATTTTTTTCTAATTATTTTATTTTATAAAATCATATTCTTAATTCATAACTCTTCAATTACTTGAATTCAACTCTTAATTAATTTAGTAATGTATATAACTCCTAATCTTCCATATTCATAACCTTCAAATTATTTAATATACAAATTTACAACTCCTTAAATTCACACTTATAAAAACCTCTTTTGAGACATATTTAATGATTATTTTATTTTCATTTTTCTTATTCTTCATTATTTGTCTCTTTGGTTGGTCCATATTTTTGTCTTCTTTGATTTGATATTGTGTCTAAATTTTGTTATGAATCCAAGGTGGCAGTGTTAGATGCAGGGTCATCCGGACCTGCAAATTTGAATGTGATGCCATTGACTGATTTCGTAAATGCATCATTGAGATCTTTCTTTACAAAAGAAGGATATAGATAAACATGTCAATTGGGTCGGCCCGTCCAATTTTAGCTCATTAAAATTGTCCCGATAAGGCCCAAACCGGAAGCTGACCCCTATATTAGTGGGGTGGGCCGGTCCAGATTATTTTCTCTCACAAGCCGGTAAGAAACCGATACACGGTTCAATAGTGAATTGCTCTGGACCGGTCCAGTAATTAAAAAAACTAAAATTAAAAAGAATTAAAATGTAGGTGATATCCGTTGGCCAACGGCTATCCACTTTCTGGAGAAAAAAATGGCCAAAATGACATTTAAAAACATAAAATTAATACACAATTTTTTTCTATAGATAGCTACACATTTCTTTATTTTTCCTAAATCAAATCTTCTAATTCTTTCTCATTTTCTCAATTCTCTCCTATGATAGCAATTTTATATTATATTTTGCAATTAACAATATTCAATGGAAGTTTTTTCAACTTTTAAGTGTTCAATATTTCATCAATTTTACGGTTCTTTCTTTATTTTTGTCTTCTAACAATTTGGTATAATATAATGTAAGTATTCTACTATAATAGATAGTATATAGTGTGTCTATATGTCTGTTTGGTATACATTATAATTCTTTCTCATTTTCTCAATTCTCTCTTGTGATAGCAATTTTTATATTATATTTTGCAATTAACAATATTCAATGGAAGTTTTCAACATTTCATCAATTTTACGGTTCTTTCTTTATTTTCGTCTTCCGACAATTTGGTATAATATAATGCAAGTATTCTACTATGTTTGTTTGGTATACATTATACGTATATTTAGTATATTTGTCATAAATAGTTTTAATTATAACAAAATTAAATAGATAACAATATACTATATTGTTAATTGCACCAAACTTTCAAATTAATAATTAATAAAAATGACTAAAAAATAATGGTCGGTTCGGCCCATTATTGTAAATCGGGCACGGTAGCAAACCCCTAACCAAGCGCGGTCCAGTTTTTGTCTTTTTTCACTATTTTGATCGATACCAGTCCTATCCATTATTGGGAGGATCAGGTTCGGTGTATCATTAACAAAAAAATAATGAGTCGGATTGGGCCGCCCAGCCCAGTAAATAGACTTAGATGCAGAAGTTGGGGATTGAAAAATGACGCCTTGGACAATTTTGACTATCATTTCACTTCTAGATATTCGTATCCCATGACTGTTAGGGTTGATGTTAACACTAACATGAAAGGAGATAATGAAATTGATGGTGATGGTGGGGTGACTAAACATAAGCAGGCTAACTTTTCGACCATGACAGATTCATCTAATATGTCTAAGTTGATGTTGAATGACCGTTCAACAAGCTCTCGCGGTCATAGTGCAGAGAAGCTTTCTAAAGTTGAGGTGAATTGTGGTGATAGTGGGTCAACAATTACTGTGAAAGTCACTTGTAAATAAGATATAATTATATTTAAGTTTGACCTCTAAGCAAGTTTTTTCCAACCCTAGGAGGATGTGCTAAGAGGTTTAAACTACAAATTGGGACATTCCTACTCAAGTGTCTTGATGGTGAAGAGGAATAGGCGATGTTGGTAAATAATATAGATTTGCATGAGTGTCTTGAGATACCGAATTTTGGTGGTGGTCATACTATCAAATTTCTTGTTCATGATACATTTTATGCTCTAATTAGCTCAGGCAACAATAACTATTTTTTGGCTAGTGGCTCTTAACAGCCTCATGCAGGTCCGAAAGCTTCAATCAATAGCTGGTACTTAAAATGATAATGTCACTCGGATGATTTCTAGAGTTGCTAGTTTACACATGAATCACTAGTAGTATGTCCGGTAGAGCTTTTCCATCAAACGCCAAAGATCCTATTTATCTTTTTTGTGATTTTTTTGACATTTTCTCTAATATTTTTTAATTATTTTATTTTATAAAATCATCTTCTTAATTCATACCTCTTCAATTAAATAAATTCATCTCTTAATTAATTTAGTAAAGTCTATATCTCCTAACCTTTTATATTCATAACCTTCAAATTATTTAATATACAAATTTATAACTCCTTAAAATCATGCTTATAAAAACCTCTTTTCATTGGGAGTAGGAACTAACTATCAAGCGGAACTGGAGGCTGCTATTTATGGACTTCGCTGGTGTGTGCAACAAGGCTTTCAACATGTCATTCTTGAAGTAGATTCTGAATTGCTCTCTAAATGGGTTAGACATCAGATGAAGCCCCCGTGGAACCTTCATAATTTTAACCAGTGGCTAGTGGAGATTACGAGAGTGTTCCACTCCTTCACTTGCATTCCTATCGAGAAGTTAATTTCACCGCAAATGATTTATCTAAGCATAGTTATACACTTACTTCTCCAAGTCATTACACTACTACCCATCAGCTTCCTCACGATGTTAAAGGTTACTACAAACTGGACAAGATTGGTCTGGCTAGCCTCAAACGAAGGAAGACTATTAGGATAAAAAGCCACCATGATCCGCGCTTCAGTTTGCTTCGAAACTTGTGCACTCATGTACTCCTTTATTGTCTTCTTGATATGTTTCTAGTTTTCGTATGCTTTATCTTTTTCTTGTTTAACTTGTAAAGGGAGAGTCTCCCTTATTTATTCTTTCCTAGTTGAGAAAATGATCAAAAGCCCCCTTAATCTATATCCAGATTTCCAACTACACACTTTAACTCTACGGGAGTCCTATCACCCCTCTGAACTGTTTAAAACTGTAATAATTACACCCTTGAAAAGCCACAACCACATCTATATTGGCATATGAACTTCACACATTTGATAGGTGGAAATTGATTAATTTATTATATTTTAAAAAAAAAAATTATAATTCTTTTCCACTTTCTCCTATACTCTCCCAATTTCTTCAAATTCCTAAAGTAAATTCTTCCCCTAATTATTTCAAATCCCTATTGAATTGTGAGGAACAAAGATAAATATTGATAGCAAGAGCTTGTCAAGCAATATTCGAGTTTTGCTTGTCGGAGAACCTTGAAAACCAAACTAAAAAGATCCAAAGGAGGAGGGGTTTTGCCGGAGGATGCGACGATGGTGGCTGCTGGTCGAGCAGCAAAGAGAAAAATAAAAAATAAAAAGCATTCTCATTTGGGAGTTCACTTGAATTTTATGTAAACCCAATTTGATATTTGTTTTTTTCAAATCTGATCCAAATCTCTTTTTTGGATGATATAAATACATGTCATTTTATCTTTAATTGAATTGATTGGTTCTTAAAAGTTTTTTACATAAGAGTTTAAAAGTTTGTGTGAAATCAACAATGGTGAATCGGTGAAGGAATTTGTTTGGTATGGAGAAGAAAGACAATAAATAAGAAATAAAAATACATATATTTTTAAAAGAGATATTAAAAATAAAGTTTTAATACTTGTTTTTTGTGTTCACTCTCTCAAAGAGAGTGAAATACACTCTCTCTGTCAGCTAAGCATTTAGGGAGGTATTAATTTCAGTTTTAAACACTTCAGGGGGGTGATAGGACTCTCATAAAGTTAAAGTGTGTAGTTGAAAATCTGGATATAGATTAGGGAAGCTTTTAGCCATTTTCTCTTCCTAATTTCTTTGTATCGAGAGGAGTCATCTCTTCTAGGTGCATAGCTATTAGGTTTCTTTTTCTAGTATTGGGGATGAGTTGGCTAGCCTTAGTAGGATGGCTAATTTATGAACCACCATAGGTTGGAGGTAAGGTTTTATGTCCCCTCCTTGTATTTTGCGTATTTTGTTATTAATGTTAAGGCATGACGGTGTTGCTCAGCCCCTACTAAAAAGAAAAAAAACAAAAAACCCTTTTTTGAGATATATATAATAATTATTTTATTTTTATTTTTCTTATTCTTCGTCATGTGTCTCTTTGGTTGGTCAATTATTTGTCTTATTTGATCTAATTTTGTGTCTGAATTTTGTTATAAATCCAAGTTGGCAGCGTTAGATGCAGGGTCATCTAGACATGCAAATTTGAAAGCGATGCCATTGACTGATTTCGAAAATGC